GGTAAAAGGAGATAGAAGGAAAGGGGGAAAGTAGCGGGTAGGTGGCAAGGGGTTTGTAAAAAGAAGCAGAATGAAGGTTCTTAGTTGGAATGTGAGGGGAATTGGGAGTGCAAGGAAGAAAGCGACAATAAAAGAGGTAATAAGACGGTATGACCTAGACATTGTGCTATTGCAAGAGTCTAAGAGAATGGAGTTTAATGACAAATGGGCAAGGAGTGTATGGAAAGCTAGGGGGATTAGCTGGGTGGCTACTCCCTCGTGGGGTGCTTTCGGGGGGATTGTAACAATGTGGAAGAGGGATGTGGTTGAAGGTCTGGAGGAGTTGATCGGAAAGTACTTAGTTTCCATGAAGTTTAAGCAGCAAGAGGATGATTATATGTGGATGCTCACAAATGTTTATGGACCGAATGACTATAGAGAGAGAAAGGAGTTGTGGGAGGAGTTGGTTGATGTTAGAGGGTTGTGGGATGGGCCTTGGTGCATGGGTGGGGATTCAATGTGATCAGATTCTCAGAGGAGTCCAATAAGGTTAATCAGAGGGTGACAAAAAGCATGAGGAAGTTTAACAGTTTTGTGGATGCCTTTGAGCTTAAAGAGATTCCCCTAGCCCATAAGACATTTACATGGTCAAATCTCCAATCTAGACCCATTTGCTCTAAGCTGGATAGATTCTTGTTCTCTTTGGATTGGGAAGAACATTGGGGAACCTTGGCTTCTAGAGTTCTCCCAAGGGTGACCTTGGATCACTGGCCCATAGTGTTATGTAAGGAGGAGAGAAGGTGTGGAGGTCTTACCCCCTTTAGATTTGAAAATATGTGGTTACTTCATCCAGGGTTTACTAACAAAGTGAGGGAGTGGTGGCATGAGTGTAACCCACTGGTGGAATGGGAGGAGATGAGATTCCATAAGAAACTACAATTCTTGAAAGCAAGAGAATCAAGGAGTGTAATTTGATGGAGTTCGGGAGGATAGAAGAAAGAAAGGGAGATCTGATGGATAAGATTKAAAGCCTTGACTCTAAAGAAGAAAGGGGAGAATTTGGAGAGGAAGACAATGATCTCAGGAAAGATTTGAGAAGACAGTTAGAGGACTGCCTGCACAAGGAGGAAATTAGATGGAGGCAAAAATCTCGGTGTAAATGGTTGCAAGAGGAAGACAGAAACACTAGGTATTTCCACTCTCTAGCAGATGGCAGGAGAAGGAAGAACTTTATCTCCAAATTGGTAGTAGATGGAGTTGAGTTAGTACARCAAGAGGAGATTGCCAGGGCCTGTGTGGAGCACTTCAAATCTATTCTAAGAAGGCTTGTGAGTAGAAGGGTGTGGGTAGAAGGTTTGGATTGGCCAGATGTAGGGGTGGAGAACAGGAGAAGGTTGGAAAGGAGTTTTAATCTAGAAGAGATCAAGGAGGCTGTGTTTTCTATGGATAGAACAAAAGTTCTAGGGCCGAATGGGTTCACAATGGCTTTTTATCAAGACTGTTGGGATATCTTGAATGATGATCTCTTGCGGGTGTTTGACGAGTTTTTTAAGAGAGGAATTGTCAATCCGGGTGTGAACTCTACATTTATAGCCTTAATTCCAAAAAAGAAAGGTGCATCCCACCCGAAGGATTTTAGTCCAATTAGTTTGGTTAATAGCTTGTATAAGATCATTGCAAAAGTGTTGTCTTTGAGGCTGAAGAAGGTACTGCCAGATATCATCGCACACTATCAAGGAGCTTTTGTGAGTGGAAGACAAATTACTGATCAGATTTTAATTGCTAACGAGAGTGTGGAAGACTTTAAGAGGGACAAGAAGAAGGGAGTGGTCTGTAAGTTGGACTTGGAAAAGGCTTATGACTTGGTGGACTGGGATTTCTTGAGGAATGTTTTGACTAAATTTTGGTTTGGGGCTAGATGGTGTAAGTGGATCATGGGCTGTGTCCGGAATTGTCATTACTCAGTGCTAGTGAATGGGACAGCGGTAGATTTCTTTCCAGCCAATAGGGGTATAAGACAAGGAGACCCCCTTTCTCCTTTCTTGTTCATTCTAATTGCGGAGGTTTTGGGGAAACTGATTCACAGAGTAGATTCTAGGGGGCTCATTAGAGGCTGGAGAGTTGGGAGGGTGGAAACCCCCCTCACTCACTTACAGTTTGCTGATGACACGATTCTGTTTTGTGAAGGCGGTAATGTGAGCTTTACCAGGAACTTGAAATTGGTGATACAACTGTTTGAGCAAATGTCCAACTTGAAGGTTAACCTTGGGAAAATCTATGTAGTGGGGGTGAATTTGGAGGAGGGAGAGATCAGGGAGAGTGCTGAAGTGCTTGGGTGTGAAGTTTCGGGGTGGCCTTTGAACTACTTAGGGTTGCCATAGGTGATAATCCCATGAGAGAGAGCTTTTGGAACCCGGTGGTGGAAAGGTTTGAAAAAAGACCGGCATCCTGGAAAAAGAACTACCTCTCTCTTGGTGGGAGAATTAC